TGTTTATGCTCCCCTCGAGATTTTAGTGTCTGCAGGAGAGAGGCGGACTTCCCACGAAAACCCACCACCACCACCACCCTTCATTGAATAAAGAAGAAATTTCTGATGAAGGCTTTCTACAGAAAAGCTCTTTTACAAGTTGATTTATGGCCGGCTTTGTAAATATCAATTAAACTAAAATGCAAACGGGACAAATTAAAATTGAAACGAGTTTCTTACCGTCAATTTCGAAACGACCTAAACGTCGCGTTTTACATCCAGAAAATATTAGACCTCAATTTGTGTACGTACCTACTTTGACAATACACTCAATTATCTTTTAATTACACAAAAAACGGTTTTTATCGAAACTTCATCAGTAATTCGAAAAAGTAAAAATTTCGTTAAGGCCAAAAGAGTGCATATCTCACAAAAAAATTTCTTTGTTTATATAGCGACAGAGTAAAGAAATCTTTGTAAATATTTTCCATGTTTAAAAATTTATTAATTGCATTCATTTAATTCGAAAACATTCAGAGGAATTAATTAATTTCTTCTGATAGATTAATCTTAGTTTTAATTGTTCTACCACAATTTTCCACATCTTATTTTGTGGATTTATGTTTTCGGCTTACTTGGCTGTCATAAAATAGAAAATAGAGCTAGATTTTTAAAACTGCATTACGAAATGAGAAAAGCATTATCACTTTTACGCCCAAATATCTATAAAGACGTTATCAAAAAATATTATGTTCAAATTTTGCATTGAATGTAATCAACCAAGTGATATATTATTTTTATCTAACTTTTAGTGTACCGTTAAATTTTTAGACAAAACTTGAGGTGTACTAGATTGATTAACTTTTATATAATTGCAAATATCAAAATATTCTTGGTTTTCCTCAAAACACTTAAATCAGTTTACATAAAATTTTCTAATAAATAAATTAATCAGGTTCTTAAATATTATTAGATGTAATACCTGCAAATAACCATAAGGAATGATGCGACAAATAATAGTGGTCTAAGTAGGCATTTAAAATGTTTGGGATTCTAACCTTAAAGATGAAGTGTATTGTGACTAACTTGCATTAACCTTCCAGTTCGGTTTTAATTTCGTGTCATACAACACATAATCTTACAATTTTGTTGCTAATAATCTAACAAACTAATGCTGAAAGAGAAATAAAAAGATTGTAACTTTGAAAGAGAATAAATAATTGTGCGTACCTTTGAAAATTTAGTCAGCTTTAGAACCGGATGGAAAAGTTCGAACAGCATTTTCTTCGTACGTGTCGCGATTTCTATACGTTAACTACGATCCGCTAGCATCAGTACTAACACGGACAGAATGTAATATCTGCCTTTCTTTTTTCCTTCGTGTTGAAATTGATTTTTTTTCGTGTACCTAATGTCTAACGGCTCTGGGATCTTGCTCTATTATAGTTATAGGGAGTAAATCAGTATAATATGCGTTATACTAGCAGACATGGAGCTTTTAGTGCTTAAATGTTCTGTTATAAAGAGTTTAGAATATTTCTTACGTAAAAGTTCGTCGAAAGTATCTGAAGTAAAGCAGTCGGAGTTAGCGGAAGTAAATGGCGTTAATATTTTCTCACCGTTATCACGCAATTTACGTGTTACTGTTTAGAATCGTCATTTATCAAGAAAACCTAATGGATCGTGCCGAAACCTGCAGGAACGGAGCAAGGTCACCAGGGTGTGTCTGGCGGATTAAAAAAAGGAATTGATCGGCCGGGTTAGTAGGCTGGTGAAAATTTTATTCTAATAATAAAGGGCTCTCTGGACGGTCGGTTGGCATAGCCGGGATCCAAAAAAAGGAATATCTGCGGTAAGCTACAAGCTTACAAATCATTATTAATTTGCCTAATTTCTTTTCGGGAGAGGAAAATAATTTGGACGGATGTCGGAGATCCGACATTGTTTATGCTCCCCTCGAGATTTTAGTGTCTGCAGGAGAGAGGCGGACTTCCCACGAAAACCCACCACCACCACCACCCTTCATTGAATAAAGAAGAAATTTCTGATGAAGGCTTTCTACAGAAAAGCTCTTTTACAAGTTGATTTATGGCCGGCTTTGTAAATATCAATTAAACTAAAATGCAAACGGGACAAATTAAAATTGAAACGAGTTTCTTACCGTCAATTTCGAAACGACCGAAACGTCGCGTTTTACATCCAGAAAATATTAGACCTCAATTTGAGTACGTACTTACTTTGACAATACACTCAATTATCTTTTAATTACACAAAAATCGTTTGTATCGAAACTTCATAAATAATTCGAAAAAATAAAAATTTCATTAAGGCCAAAAGAGTGCATATCTTACACAAAAATTTCTTTGTTTATATAGNATTACTGTTCGCAAATAGTTAAGGATGTGGGATGTTCTAGTTTTAGGGAAATGCGAAGTTTAGCTCAGGATAGGAAAGAGTTGTCCAACCAGTCTTAGGACTGACGACCTTATGATGATGATAATGATGAGTCTATTTAATTAGTAATTATAAATGAGTATATAATAAACGGAAAAGTATAATTATATAAATCAAATGGATATAATCTACATATTACATATGTAGTTACTGCAATAGATTGCATTTTAGTTGATGTGAGAAATTGTTGTAGAACACATTTTGGTAAGTAATAATTTTCACGGTTAGGGGGTTCTGTTTTCGGTCCAATTCGAGTAACCATTGTTTTCTTACCAAACCAAATAGTATTTCTGAGTTAATGCACGAAGTTAGTGTGAGAGTCTAAACACTTGACCGAAGTGTCGAGTACAAACTTGGTAGCGCCATTCCTGCTCGTTCAAGGATATTCTATTTACGTTAGACCGGATGTAGACCAACAAAATTGTTCTTATCTCCTGCTTAATTTGCACTGGGCTTCACTTCTAGTTCCGGATAAAGCATTACTTATGTACTGTCCTCCACGATACCGTTTCCGAATGACTTGATAAAATCCAAGTCAACTACCCTTTCAGAGACCAAGAGTCCTTATCTACGACAATAGACTATTATCGGCTAATTATTAAAAACAGTGACTAGCGTACAATTATGATACATATAAAGATGCTCCATATGTTCAGGTCTATGGTTTTAGAGTAGCTACATGAAAGTTTGTAATGAAAATTTGTGTGCCTGGGATTTAATAAAAGTCTAAAACTAACGATAAATAGATTTTAGAAAATACTACAAATGGCGCAGTAAACGCCATCTGTAGCACAATGCTACATTTTATATCTACTTGCTGAAAACGAATCCCGGCGTAGCCAACCTCAACGTGATAGGCACGTTAGCTTAATCGAACAAAATAATTAAGTAATAATAGTTAAGACAGCAGGTAAAAGCAGGTAAAAGTTGGTCTGTGTTCTGTCGGAGCTGCCTGGGACGCGCTGATGAGATCCAAAAAGATCGAAATCGCGATCCGCGTCTGGCAGTTTCGACAGAATGCAGACCACTTCGGATTATTTTATTCGATAAATAGATTATTTAGCTGCGACATCGTCAATGTCCTAGTTTAATAGGAGGTTTGGGTGAAAATTATCAATCCTTTGGATGGGTTGTATTATTCATAAAATAATATCTACAAATATACGTAGGTATGAGATAAACACACGCAATAAAATAAATATTGCGGTCATCATCATCGTAGGGTCGTCAGTCTTAAGATTGGTTAGACATGCATCTTCACTTTGTCCTATTTTAAGCTAATTATCGAATTTCCCTAAAACTAGAACAGTCCATATCATTAACTATTTGTAAACAGTAATCCAATCTAAATCAACCTCTACTCCTCTTAACTCCTGTTTCTGCTTCTAATATGTCTCTAGAACTATGGTGATACTAAGACCAAAACTTGATAATGGTTATATTCAAGTTGTACTGAAAATATAGACGTTAAAGTTGTATAAAACATATCTGCAAAATAATTAGTCTTTTCTAACTCAGACATAAATAATAAAAAAAAATGACTTCTGGTTTTTGCTCACGAACCGTTAAATAGATATGTGGTTGTGTCTAGTGAAATAGCACTGCCGTGTCTCATTAATAAAATGTCTGGAAAGCTGCTGGTTACTTCCCGTAACCACAACAATTAATTGCAAGTCTAGCGTAATCTTCATTTACTGTAAAAAGTTATGACTTTAATTATTCAAATGTAGGTTATTTTTTTTTTGGGTTTCATTCTAAAAACGGGCTTAGTTATAACGCATGAGCAGGTACTGTTTAATTGCTATGAACTTTTCCGGTGATATAGAAGAACTATGAAAAGTGAGAGATCAATTGAAACCACCGGTCGTTTTGTCAATTCAACTTTCCTTTTTTACTACAAATATTTTTTTTAGCCGCAAAATTTAGTTTCTAATATTTTAATATTATTGGCAACACACACACATAAACACACACATCTACTGTAAATAAGAATAACAATTTTGTTAATAAAACCATTTTCTATTTATCTACATTGTGTTTCGTAATATTGCAGGGGGGGGTTATCTCTGCTNTAAATCTAAATTACAATTCAACGTTTTAAGAAATTCAATGCTTAGTATTCCTTCTAATTCCATATTTAAATGTGCGACATGAAACTTGATTAAATATATGAAATCCTATGACATTGTTAGTTACTTAAAAAATGATTTCAAATTAATATTGCATATTAATCCAGTATTAATTAACTAGCAATGTCATAGGATTTCATATATTTAATATATATATAATTAAGCTAATAAAAATCGACGGATGGTTAACCTTGTACGTCGATTGGTGGTGGTTGGTGTTGTCACCTCTCGTAGTTTAGTAGTCAGAACATTGGTGTTAGTTTGGAGTGGGTAAATCAAAAATCGAGAAAAAATGATTTCAAATTAATATTGCATATTAATCCACTGTTAAGTAACTAACGATTTCATTGTGTTTCGTGTTGTTAAGTAAATTACATTTTGCACTTCTTGTTCTTTTATTTAGTTTAAAATAGAGGAGTAGAGAGTTCGTGAGGAAGACCATCGGAATTGTGTTAAATTCATTTCCTGCGTATTTTTTCTACATTGCCAGGGTCCTAATTGAGCGTGGCTGTCAAACAGGAGCCGCGCCTGCCTCCGGTTTCTAAAAGCTGAGCCGGAGTAAATTGTCACTTCTTCCGCGACATTACTTCCAGACGCCAGTTATGTCGTCGGTGTTTACTCCTTAAACAGTCATGATAAGGGTTTTTGCCAGCCTGTTGCTCTAGATGTTTCCTCCTTTTTACCAACTAAAACGAGACTAACTAAAACGAAACAGCACTTACGATTAAACGCGCTAAAACGTTAGTAGGTACGCTGAGTTGTATTACGTTATTCTTGTTTTCCCTTATTACAATTACATCTCTTCCATCCGCACTTTAAAAGATAAGACACATAGTATCTTGCAGTAAACACTTCGAATGAAATAATTTTTACACAGGGCTAAATTATTCTTTTAATTCCGCTTTTACTTTATGTAAATCGTAACTTATATTATAAATGCGAATGTAAGTTTATTTGTTTACTACCATTTTACGCCCTAATTACTCAATCGAGCATCATGAAATTTTGTACACATTATGGGGTGTTTGTAAAAAGAAATGCTTTATCTTTTGCTTCCGAAAATTGAAGTAATTCCTTCAAGGTACATGCATAAAAAAAAAGATGAAGGAAAAGGTTTTGCTTTAAAGTAAAGGATTTTACAAAATTTGTAGTTATTAAAAGATGCATCGGCTCAAAAAGTATAGGATCTGCTTCGAAAAAAAGAATCTATATTCACTAGGTTCAACCTTTCTCGCTCGTTTCAACTTACAAAAGGTAACGTAAAAATTTATGTATTTGTAGGACTGTTTTTGTGTTAAAATCTATGTAAAAGGACTTGTGTAAGTAATCTTTAGTTATGTGGTCCCAGTGTTGTGTTTCTTATGGCTGATATGGTATATTTACGTACAAGAAAGTATTACATACCAAGACGTACATCACGAAAATCAGATTTTGAAATGTTATTTAGATTTTGACGCGTATCCCGGAATACGTGAAGCAGCCGTTTCACCTGTGCAAAAAATGAAATTATTGTGCAAACTATTCTACATTTGTTAACTTTCAACACTGCACAAGTAAATCAGGAATGTATTAAACAAATAAAATAAAGAGCTGTTATGGAACACACACACGTGGATTGCACGATGCAAGTTTCAACTAATTTATCGAAGTGGATAGCAGCTAACCTGTACCTTATTTACTATTACTTTATTTATCCAAAGCATTTCCTTGCAAGGAAAATGTATAGATTAT